TATGGGATTATTTGTCATCTGGTCGTTCTTTTTCGGTTGTGATGGATGGATCGCATTATGAAGTCCCCGTGAACAATAGCAGGCCTCACCTGCACTTCCCCATATTATTCAAACCTGAAATTCTGCCAAGTTCTCTACTGGGCTCACTTTTGTTCTGCATTTAACCGTTCCGCCTTTTAACGGCCATAACTGTGGAATTAGACGAGGCTTATTTTCACTGTTTCGGTAGGAGGCGAATGATTATATTTCGTCACCTTTCACGTCCTCCTACTCATAAAATAGTCCCATCCATCGTCACTGTTCCATTCGAGTAAAAGTGAATTTCCATCCGCCTAATACTTCAGAAAGATAATCAGCAAACGTTATAATAATGCGCACCCTCGCAGAAGGCATTTTTCCGAATGGAAAAACCTTTGTGTTTTGCCAACAATAAATTTCCCAAACTTTCGGGCGCTCTGCTTAGGGCGTAAAAGAAACCTGCTTTGTTGGCTTTGCCTGCTCTTTTCGAAGTCTGTTTTGTTTCCCGCTTATTTTTTTTGCAAGTTTTTTCGCTTAATAATTGATGTTTGCTGTCGGAAGCTTGCGAAACACTGACTTGCGTCGATAATCCAATTTCCAGTTGCCACAATCGACAGTTTAGTTTTTATAGAACAATAGCCAAAGCTGACTCTCTGAACTGCAGCTGATTTTGCTCAATTAGCAAGGCATTTGCGTGAGAGATGACTGGAAGATGAGAGGGCAAAGAAATGTACCTCTAAGGCATTTGAATTTTATCAAGAAAAATACTCTTTTGATGCCCTTTTAACATCAATAGGTATTTTTCGTCTATTTCTGGATCAAGGGGCTGAGCCGCGCCCTTAATATATTCAGTAGTACAATGTCGTTTCCAGTCTAAACTTGAAACCGAGCTCCATTTAATCCAAGGAAAATGTCCTGCCTACACTAGAGGCGTTTTATTGTTGCGAAGAATGCAAAAGACATTTGAAAAAGCCAACAAATTGTAGAAAATCCAGCAATTCTTCAATATAAGTCTTTCAAAATGCAGAAGAACGTGCACTGTTTATTGTCGTATTTTACACTAGAAGACTATTTACCAGCCCTGAAGTGCCAAACTAAACTAAAACAAAAGTGGAGAGACAAGATTTATAACTCTCCAAGTGGCAATTTCAGCTTCAACTGACTGCGCTCTAATTGCAAACTGACCCGGAACTAATCCTCTGTTCAACTCGAATATGTGTGTGACTTTCAATTCAATTTCCATTGCCTCTTTTCTCAAAACAACGCCCACAATGTTCTCGGAAGATTTAGTTAAATTCTGGAAAACCAATTGGAAAAAGTCGATACAGAAAAATAGTTAGTCGAATAGTTAAAAATAGAATAAGTCGATACGAAAACCAATTGGAAATATTCGCACAATTCATCAAATTTGTGCTAAATGTACATTAAATAAAAAATCACTAAAAAACCTTTTCAAATAGTAAAAGCCTAATCTCTGCTAGTGGTTCTTAGCCCCAAAAAACGTGGACAAAAGCAGGACGAACAGGCAACGAAAAGCAGAAAAACCCGTTTATTACCATAAAAAGTCGGTTTACTTTGGCCACCGAATGTCTGGGTGTTAGAGAGGTTGCTGGAGCCTTTGGCCTCCCAAGACGGATTGACTTGCTTTGACAAAAAACCAAATGGGCTTTTAGGCAATGGGGCAAGTGGAGGACGTAAATGTAATGAAATTTCGGCAATTTCAACTGGGAGATTGGTTTTTCAAGCCTCCGTTTTTTTCTGATTAGTTTCAATACTCTCTAAAGTTGCGAAATTGTGCATAAATCTGACCTACATCTGATCAAAAAGTAATCATCTGTGCGACCAAAGAATTTATTATTTCCGCCAGGCGCTACACAGTCTGGATGCTTTCAAGAAAATTACACCGGCTTTCCTCGATCGGAAGGAACGAGAAGCGTGACCAAAACCGGACTTTTTCCGGCCTGTTTCCTGGAATAAAGCCGATGGGAGCAGCCATTTAACGTGCCCTAGTCAGATTATCTTCCCACATGAAACATGCTTCAGCAAGCACTTCATTCAATAGATTCCAGAGTTCAGCTCAGTTTGGATCAAAGCGAACTTTAACTGCCATTTTCGTTGCAGAAATTGCATTGAAATATTGAAGTGCCCGCGGTGGAACTTTACAACTGACCACTCGATCCGACCAGTTTTGAGTTGATTGAAAACCACAAAATGGAGAACTTGAAAATATTATTCCCTAGACCATTTTCCATATTGAATAGTGATTTTCAATGACTAGTTTTATGCAAGAGTGTGTTAGCGAATTGTTCGCAGCGCGATTGAGGTAGATTTCCCAATAGCCTCATTTAGTAGAGCGTTTTAGAGTTTTTTTTTCCATTTAGTCTTCAAAAGCAGGCTTGAGCAGAGATGCATCGTTTTCCCAAAAACCATTGAGCTGACAAATGTTTTCCATGCAGTTATTGGGGCACAACTACATGGTGAAAGATTCGTGTTTTTCTGTTTCATCAGGGTTTTGTTGGGAAACTTTTAAGCCCAATTTGATAAAGCACGCGAACTGTTAAACCACCGTTCTGGGAAGTTAATTCCTCGAAATTGGATAAAAGTGCGGAAAGGCCATTTCATAAAGCACGACGGACAGTTTCAACTATGAAAGTTCGAATTTGTGGCATCTGCAATGCGTTACCATTTTTTGGAAAAACTGAAAAAGACAAATTTGACCTTTTTGTAAGTTTGCATAGCAGATGTGCTTGTATAAACTAGGAAAGTTTCGAATCTGTGCCACCCTCGGGCATTTTTTCACGAATTTTTAGGTTTGACCTATTTTTAAAGAGCAATTTTGCAGAAGACAACTTTTGTAAACGACCTTGTGCAAACTAAAAAATGGACAAAAATTTGTTCATTTCACTGTTTTGAAGAGTAAACTCGATGGTTCATATCGACAAAGTTTCGAACATCCATCCTCAAGGTATTTTCAATCTTTTCTAGCTTTGGCCCAACGGGGTCTAGTCGATTTTTGAAAATTAATTTTGCACACAAAAACCAATCAACTTGAAAAAATTGCTGTGAGTCTAGTTTTATGAATAAAAGTATTCTTAGTATTGGTGAAAGTTTCGAATTTGTTTCTGGAAATAGTTGAATCTAGACCAGTAGCAAAACAAATTGTCCAATGTTGGACAAAAAAATTAATTGAAATTCTCACTGCGTATAATAATTAAACGATGCACAATGTTAATTAGGGAAGTTAATCTATCCAGGGTTGAGTATCTTTAGGTGCACAAATTTCCAAAACTCAAACCTTTTCACCAAAAAAATGTGGAACTTTATTTAATATTACAAACAATTTTCCAACTAAATGGGATTGACTTCCAACTTTGCCTTTGGATTTTGCCAGACATCGCCAAATCCAGCTACAAACTTGTGTTATTTGGCTGGTGCCAAACTACATTTCAAGCATGTTTTTTCGCTAATCTTTCAATAGAAGCGAATTGGAGCAAATCGTGTTTCGAACTTAAACAAGATTGATTTAGCACGACTTTTGCCAGATTTGGGCGAGCCCGAAAGTGGAACGCGTTGTGAATAAATGTGGAATTTGATTGATTCTCCGAAAATTCGGTTGTAACCACTTAAATGTTTTGACTGTCATGTATAAGAGAGAATGAAGGAATTCGCAAATTCCTCTCCCATTAAGTGCTTAATTAAACTAAAAGCGCTGGGCGGAAGTTTAATAATCTTGGGTCAACTTCCAGCAGCTCGACTTAGCGATAGGATCTCGTTATTTCCTTTGACTTTTCGAAAGTAATTCATTGGGGACAGCAATTCAACTTCCTGATCTGGCCGCAACTCAAACTGCAAAACTCTGAAATGTTTCACTTGCAACCAACTCAAACTGGTGAAAATAAAAATATATGTTGCACAGTCAACAACACACGCTGTTCCTTCAACCAATAAACGCAAAACCCAATAAAATATTCATTTTACGAAAAGCAAGTCCTCCAAATATACAATATTCATGTCGCCGAATTTCAAATTTCGCACCCTACAAGTCGACATCTTCTTGGAGTTTTGCAAGTATTTTAATATAAAGTGGGGTCTGACTTACAGAAACACTCAAGCAGCATCTTTTGCCGATTTTAATGGAGGATTTCGCTGACAGTGTAATTTTAAAGGGATCAACTCCCCGGCTAATTAGCTTGGTGAGATTGTTTAAATTTAGCACTGAACATCAATACTTGTAATGATTGGGCGCGGCGAAAAACGAAAAACAGCTCCCCAGTTTAATTAAACGAAACGTCTCGGGTCTTGAAAAACAGTTTTTCCAGACTCAACAATAGACCCGCTTAAGCAAACAGTTTGAGGAATATCAAATCGGTCGGCTATTTATATTTTGCAAGCAAAAAAGTGAGTAGAATAGGCCCGGAAAGGGAAATTCTGGTCCTCAAGGGATGATTATCAATTAACTTTTCAAAGTATTTGATAGTCATCATATATTAAATAGTGATTATGAAATCCAATAGGAAAAATTGAGAAAACCCCGAGGGGCTGTAAATTTGATCATGCTTCAGAACCATTTATTCTGACATTAAACTTAAAACTTTGAATCATTTGAAAAAAGCAATCAGGCTCTTGTTTAGGGACCGTTAAAAACTAATTGCAGCCCTGATTCAAGCTGAGATTTTCCCAGACTACGTCTATAACGATCGTGATGAGGTTTTTAATAATATTTCCTAATAATTTCTTTTGCCCCCGCTAAAAGTTTAATTAGTGTTGATAATTCCTATAAACTTTTATGGGCCACATTAAAGTGAACACTTAGCCAAGGCTTGTAAATATAAGTCAGGGTTCATCCCCTTTTTACTGTAGCCGGTTCATCCGCTCTTAATCCTGTTAAATGTGGACGCTTCAATTGATCGCGACTGGAAAAGCAACTTCCCCAAACGTGTGGAAAGGCCGGAGCAAAAACCATTAATGGCGATTTTTTTCAGGAGTCCCTTTTGAAGCGACTAGGCGTCAATGCGTATCCATTCACAATGGAAATAACCCCCTTGGCACCTCCTAGTGTGCAGCTGGTTCCAGCCAAAGAATACAACGGAGCTCCCATAGGAACCAGCTACGATGTGCGGGCCTACGTTGGTAAGTTAATTGAAGCAGACTCCATTATCCATAATGGGGATTATTGCGTTAATTATGGAAGCTGGGGCGTCTTATAATTATTTCAGCAAAACGCTCTGAAATAACTGTCGCTCCCCCCAGCAAATGAAACACTTAATGCTAAATATAAGAGTGGTGCAGCGACCCAAAGCGAAGCTTTTAATATTAATATTAATATGATGTGACTCTGTTCCGCCAGTTAGGGAGGAGCCCAAAAAAGTTGCAATCAGTGAAAACATGGGAAAATCAACAAGAAAGGCTTCAATTGAAATACAACGTTAGGACATAATATAGCAGAAACTATATTCAAAGCCCCATTGGGGTTGAATATTAGGGAATTATGAACTGAAACTACGCCCGTGTGTAACAACATACACTTTCTTTCATCCGCTTCACTGTTGGTGACAATTTAATTTTGTCTTGATGAGGCCTTGCCAAGTCAAAGCGTTGCTTGCACCAAATGAAAAACTTTTCCCAATTATAAACTTTAAACGTGTCCGTCCGTTCAGATGATTCAACTAGTAATTAGCGGCTTCATTCATACAAATTACTTTCAGCATGTTTCGTCGTGAACTATTCAGATTAGTGACGGTCCCGTTGAATAAACCAAAAAATGCGCTAAGCCAATAATGCTTCCGAACGGTCGGAAAAATACACTCGCCTGGAAACTTTAGCCATTAAGAGCTTGTGCCAATAACTCCCCAAAGCGATTGTTTTGATTGATGTCTATAACACACGATAGCTGTTCAGCAGCATTTTTCATTCTTTTCGATTAATGAAATACAACAGTATTCGTTTAAGCGTTTCCGAATAGTAGCGTTATTTCTACATAAAATATGAGCACTTTTATATTCGCCCCATATTTTCACAGCATCCCATGAAGGAATATCTTCCCCTTCAGTCTTGGAGCGTATCTGCTAAAGATTTTTCCGTATGTACACATTCGAGTCGAGGGCAAAAAATGGAAACTAATGGAAAACCAGTAGGGTGAACGAACGAAACTGGCTTGCATTGACGTGCACATTTCCATGTGTATGGAGAGGCGCCGAAATTATGGAACACACGTCAGTTGAAAGAGGATTATCGAGGTCTGTGCTTGATATGAACTCTGACATGAATAAATTCGGTTGAAAGACACTGACGCCTCGTGAGCCGAGTGACAAAGAGGCCAATTAAGGCCCTGAAGTGGCTGAGTAACGAATCCATCCTCAACACGATTTGCTTGATTTAAATGCGATAAAACCCATTATAATTATTGCGTCACTTTTGAAAGCACCCCGTAGAACACTCGGTGGACTCGGGGCAAGCCGAATGATTTCGGGTGCTTTCGTGGATGTGTGAAGGAGCGAGAACAACATAGCGGTCCTTGTTCGACTTGCTCTTTATACGAGGGTGTATTTATTTTAACCACGCCACATTTCACGCCTTCGATCATTTCCATATGTTCCCATTCAATGTGTGCCGATGAAAAATTCTGATTTGTTTGGGAAACTATAGACAGATAACACTGTTCAAAGACCTTCTCTCGTATCGACTTTGCGGGTATCTAAAAATACACCTAACTAGACCGGCACACGATGCTTAAGGCTAAATTTTTGTCCCGAATCTGAATAAATTCTTATTCAAATAGGGTACCTGACGTCAACTACAATGGGGGTATTTTAAACGGCCCACGCTTTCTGGCTACAAAACGACACTTTTGAGGATGCTAAACAGTGAAGCGACCGGCGACAGAAATGATTAAGAAAGTTGGGGATTGGAAATAACCGTGAAATCGTTGCCGAGATGCGCCTTAGTAAAAAAACGGGCTTAATAAATGGGAGTAATGGCGCAGAAGAGTGGGTGATTTCAGTCTCTCTTAGTTTCATCGTCTGTAATCTGGGGAAAAGTTGAGACTTTTTATCTCTAACTTTCATAGATATTAAAACCAGATAGTCAAGCAGTGGGTTTTATATTTATTCTCGCAGTCATTGCATGAGCAGCGTGTAGAATTTTAACGAAAGGTTTACACATTGAAAACCGTATTTTTCCTCTTTTACTGCATTAATATGAGCCACACCATTATCCAGGCAGCTACATTGTTAGCAACGTAAACATCGAGAGCGCATTGTATGAAATTTGCAGAGTTAAAGCATTTTTCCCGGAGCTTTGCAGCCCTGGACAAAAGCCGACTAAAACGGGGAAGCAAAATTTTGTTAATAATATTTGCCGAACTTTTAAGGGTGGCGCGTTTTAATCTCGCCAATTTTAGAGTCACCGGTTGATAGAGAATGCTATCACTTATGCTGCACTGAAACTGGAAATCAATATTTTTGGCCTTGAATGTTTTACCAATGAAAATCCCAAACTGAAAATTAGTTTTATACCATCCCAGCCTTCATGTGCGATTTACATAAATCACTAAGCCAAAAACTTCACCAATGATACCCGCCATTTGATGCGCCCATTCCTTCAGAAAATAACGAAAAAACCGACCTTTTTTTACTGCCGTCATTCATACATAATGTTTTATAAAAGTCGGAGAAATGTATCCCGTTTTATGCGAGCCGTCAATAAATGTCTTCATAAAACTCAACTTTGTTAGCCAAGTCTGCTTTTACCATCACACGATGTTCACTAAAGGTTACAGAGTTAATTTGCCTGCCTCGAACTGGGCCATTAAGACAGTGAAGGCCCGATTGTTCAATGGGGGCGACTTTCCGTTATTAAGGCAACACGCGATTTTTCCTTGGGAATTTGAAAAACAGTTCAGAAAATGCTCTGTTACGTCTGTTGAATCAAACAATATTTCTGTTCATATATGAAGTTGACGCGATCCGGCTCGAAGGACCATTTTCTTGAATAAGCTTCTATTTTCGCCTTGCAAGAGAAAATTGCATTAATTTAATGCCCATGGGTTAATAGACGTCTTTCTTGACATAAATCGAACTCTAAGTACCACCAAGATTAATCGGACGCCAAGTTGCTCGCTATAAAACACTGAGCATAGAGATTAAGGGAAAATTAATAAACCGCGCGCGCTCGACGACATTACGGTAATTAGCGTTGTATATTATTATGTGCTTTAAATTGAAAATGACGGGAGTGTTTATTTGTAATTATTAACGCTGGGGTGAACTTTGTGAGCGAAATTGAAATAAATAGTGAGAGTAATAACATTTTACAGACGTTGGCCGTAAACCAGCCTGCCATTCTTCCACCTTTGTACCTTTCTCTAGCCTAAACTACTCCAAAGAGGCTGGTTTGAATACTTTAATCCGCTTTTCAAATGCTTGGGAAAAAATGTTGAAGCAAAATACCAGTGTTTTAACCCAGCAGCATTAAGGACATTTAACTCATGCCTTGATTAAATTCATCGTTCGCTAGTTGAAAACTACAGAAAATAATTCTGCACAAAAGATGATACACCGTTTCTGAAAGCTCGCCTCGGGGCGTCGTTCGACTCGCATAATCTGGGAAAATTGCTTTTCAACTGGAAAGCCGAACGCAGAAAAACAGCAGCCAAATGGATTATCCAAAAAAGCACCCACTAATACGGAAAGTCGAGGGAGAATATTAATAAAAAGAAAACCGGTTTCGTTGGCCGACCGACAAAGTTGTTTAACATTAACCGGCTTACGGGGGTGTTACACAAAGAGATATTGCATTTAATCAGGGCCCAAGTGTTTTTGTTTTAAATGAAAAAAATATGCCCGGCAATGAAAGTCTGCAACTTTTGAATGTAGTGCTGTTGTTGCCTTGTTGGTCAACAGAGTTTCAAGTTAAGAAACCGTCAAATTTTTCAAAAACTAATGAAACTCTAGGCAGTTCGATGGGCCCTTAATTACCATTAGGGGTAACCAAAAGTGAACATCTGTTGCCAATGGCGGGGTGCAGAATGAAAGTAAAACCTGATCTATCCTATTAGAGGAGCATTAGAGCAAGAAGAGTCTTCTACGCTAATTGGCTTATTCGCTACAGTCTAGAACAAGAAGGGTTGAACTGCAGTTAGCAATTACTGTCTTGATCAATTATTAAGCCGCTTGAGCTGCGGCGAAAATACTGCATTTTGTAAATCCAGCAGTTGGATTTGATGAGTAAATAAGTTGGGAACAGATGCGTATTTATTAGCAGCCGCTCCTAAACGCTATTCATGTAGATAAACTCGCAAATCTCTGTCGATCTGTTTCGGTTGCACAAAACGGTGGCCAATTAATTCCGTCTAACCATCCCTGCTGCACTGAACCTGCAGTTGCCTTTTCGGCCTTTTTTGGGCCACATATATAAAATAAACCATTAACGTGTAGTGGGGACAAATAGGGATTTGATTGGCAAATCGATAGCAGGAAAAAGGCATGGCGGCAGTTTCTCCTCGATCCTGCATGACATTGATTAAATTATTCAAGAGATTGATTAGCCGTTTTACTTTGAGAAACAGCCTTGCATGACCTGTTTTTAGACTTTCCATTTTTAGATACGCTCCGCACATTTTCGACGGTTTGTCCCCGGCGAATTTGCTTAATGAATACCGGAAAAACTCTGCTTGAATTATCGCGGAAAATTGAAAATTCACTTATATCAGCTGTTAAGTGTGTCGCAAGCGCAACAATTCTCAAATATTTAAAGTCTGAAAAATGCGCTTACAACGAAGCTAAGGAGAAAGAAGTGAGCGTGCCAAATTTCCACGAGATTTGATTAATTTCCTAATAATTTAGGTGGATTGTGTTTCACAATTGGGGCCATTCATTTTGCAGATCTTGATTAATCTTATTCGCTTGTTAAGAAGACCCTCTGCGCGTATTTATCAATTCGAAAGTCCAGAATTAGGAAATATTTTGCCACTGCCACAATTCCCCGTCGGCTCGCTTCTATATTGTGACAGCTTAATTAGCTATAAACTGTATTGTTCCTCGTCATAATCCTGTAATGGCCGTCATTTTAACATGAATGGATTGGATGCAAAATTCATAGCCGTGCTCCCATTTGAAGATTAAGGTGGAATAATTGATCCGCTACTTTCTTGGCTGTCAAATATCTGAATTACTTACGTTTGATGTTGTTGTTTTCCTCAACACTTGGAGAGTAATCAAACGCAACAAATGCCCCATAATAGAGCGTCCGCGTTTGCCAAAAGCAAAAAAAGCGCTAAAACCGCTTCAGAATCGTTCGCCTCGAGTAGGAACAAATTCGTTTTACATCCAGGGCGTAATTAAAACGAATGTCTCTCTAGTATCCGGACACTTTTTCCGTCCGTGAAACTTTCCGGTTCGACGTTAAAGTTTTCCGAGTTTCCTCCTTAAAGGTTTCCGCTTTCCATCGGTTTTAGTTCTCGATATCCGCCTTCATAGACGATGACTTCTAAAGTTTCTTTTTTCAAAGAGCGCTTTTTGCGACAGAAATTAACATATTTTGCTTTAATTTTGAGCATACTAGAGCCTTTGATGATAAATTCCAGGAAAATAATCTTAGCTTGTTCTGTTGCTTTTGCCCTCGTAATGCGCCAGCCGCTGTATTTCTTTATTGGTTTCCACGGAAACCACCTGTGTAAACCAATGACGATCCTTCCGCTTCAATGCTGCCATTTACTGCATGCTACCGGATGTGTTTAAAACGTTGATGAATTTGCGGAAAATGAATAGGTTTGAGTCCTTTGATGGAAAGTTATTGCATTACAAGTTAGTTTCACTTTGCTGTAGGATATAGCCGTATTGAATTTAGCCACACAATAAACAATTATTACGGACTGATATAGCATTCCATTTCATGAAACTGATGCTTAATTAATTACTGTGATTTTCCAGCTGAGCGAATAGACGAAAAGTTGCACAAAAGAACGACAGTGAGGATGGGAATTCGCGTGGTGCAAAGGGCGTTTGCTCCGCCATCCCCTTACCAATATGTTCCAGGAGGAGGCAAAACTTCAAAGGAGCAAGCCAAGATGAACAGGAAAGCGCTGCTGTTCGGGTGTAAAAGTGAGCCGTTCCAAAATCGACTCCTGACCAATCAAGGTAATATTTGAGCACACTTTGAAGTGAGCTGCTTGATACAAAGTTTGATTGCTCTAAAGCCATGTCGAGATCGGCGGAAACCCTGCCTGGAAATCAGCTACTGTGCCCACAAATCCGCATTACTCACCGATCAATGCCGGAGTGCAGGCGACAGAACCTGGAAGCTGGAAACAATGAAGGTAAACTTTTGGATGAGGTTTTTCAATTATTGCTCTGGCGCATTTTATAAACTAACTATTTCCCCCATTCCCAAAAATAACCCACAGGATTTCCTGAAAGATTGCGGGAAACTTTGCCAATCTAATTCCCAATCTGTAGCAAGGCCAGATCGATTTAATAGCATTTCCCGTTTCAGAAGTAACTTCGTTTTGCCGATTGGCCAAATGTTATCTGCTTAGTGTAACATGTGCCCGAACTGTTGCAATTTCCTTTGCGTTTCAGACACGGAAAATAAGAGCCCCAATCGCAGATTTCCCCTAAAGTACAGTGGCCGTGTCACTTTTGATGAGCAGGAGGACGACAGCATCACCATAACGCAAAATAGTGTGGAAATAAATGGAAAATCGACAGATGCAGTGGACTCTGAGCAGACCGCTTTGGAAAAGAGACGAGCGTCATTGAAAACGACCAAATCTGAAGTTCGTAGCGATAGTGTCGAAAGCAATGAGGTAAGACCTTAACATTTAACAAAACATTCAAATTGGCTGTAAAACACATCAACCAGCCGACTCTCGAGCAATTTACATGAAAGTCATATGAAAAGCAAAACAAATTATCCGCACAAAGACACACAATGAGCGTCTGGCTTTTAGAAAAACTCCCCTTGTCGCAACGGAATTAATTTCCATTATCCATAAATAACGAGCAGAGACAAATAGAACGTTTAAGTAATCACATTATCTGATAGGTAGAAAAAAAGTAATTTAAAACGTATCATGGCATCGAATTACTTGTGCTTTGTTGCATATGTTTGTTGTCTGCCGTCGGGTTCTTTAAAGGCCTGATTGATGATGAAACATTGAACACAAAGACAATTTAGCGCCGGATACTGAACGAAGTCACTGTGACTTGAAGCATTATAAAAGAATGAATTTCGGACTAAGGAGTTGATTTGAGCCCAAATTTTCGTGAAGCAGGTGGAAAATCCGGAGCGGCAAATTGAGAATACTTATTAATCCATGTTCTATTGTTCGACAACTACCAGGGAACGTTAAAGGCGAACGCCTGCACAAATTATGAAAGAGGCTGCTCTGGAAATATTAACCGAAAGCAATGAGACGAACATTTCCAGAACCGTATCCTAATTCTGGCCGACCGTGCGAAGCATAATCACTTAATCCTGCTGGTAATTGAGTGCGGTTTATCCTGATTTCCAATTTTACTCTTTTCTTGGCCGTGGATTAATTCGCGCGATTTACAAAGCTTCAGCTTTGGAACTGGAAGATGTCTGAATCAAGATTGTAATTAAGGCAAACGCGCACAGTATTTCCAATTGCTGTTCCATTGGATTTTTGATTTATTTTTCAGGATCGTATATCGGATTATTACCGATCGCTGTGCAGTGCTAAGCGCCCATCGATGGCCGCTTATTTAGCAGCAGTTCCCAATCCGGAAGCGACAGTGGAAAAGCAATTTTTGCTCAGCGACGGCAAAGTGATACTCAGCGCAACGCTGGACAAGGGCATTTATTCGCACGGCGAAGAAATTCGCGTCTCTGTCCAAATCAGAAACAACAGCAGCAAAACCGTCAGGAGAATAAAGGTGAGTAGCTCAGATGCATTTAACAATTGACTGAATTATCAAACAAAAAATACGAAGAATGCAAAAAGTGTCTTTAAATAACAGAGATGATCACCGGCAGTCACGGCCGGTGCCCTTTTATATTGGCTGCCCTTTGCGTAAAAAGGGGTGCTAATAAAGCGACAGCAAAACGACGAGAAAAATGTTCAGCTTTCAACCAAAGCATCCTTTTATTAAATTTTAAGAACTCCAGGAAATGGAAAGCATTAACGCATTTAAAGTCTGTATTTTACGAGGAAAGTTGAGTCTGGGATTGACAACTTTCTTTTATTTGCGCTCCTTGAGTCTGAAAGATTAGTCGGGGAATATTTCTTAAATCAGCACCAACATTGTGTGCCAACTGCCAACTCACAAAGCAAACAATAATTTCAGCAAACCGAAAAAATATCCTCGGCCTTTTTAGTTTGCTTCTTTGTTTTCGCAGGTTAAGTACATATTGGGCATCAAGAAAACATGAGTTTCGTGCTCAACTCTGTTGCTTTTAACAAGCGGGGGTGTAGTTGACAGAGCATAACAAACCTCTTGTTACACCCCTTTGTAAATCTCACCCAAAAAAACCTTGCTTTTGTGTTTTGTTTGTGTTGAAGTTGAATCAAAAACCGTCCTAAAATAACACACATTTTCCGTTTATTGTGGCTGCAGCTGGACCTGGGCTGACCAAAACTTTTGCCGACATTCGGATTATTTAGCAACCAGAGCTTTATTTAATAATTGATCGAATATTCAATTGGGCGTACTTGCGCAGCAAAAGTTTTAAGGGCGGTTTTACGATGTGTCCGACGTATTTGCAGATGGGTAGTTTTATAGCTGTGGACAGAAAAAGTAGACAAATAAACAATTCAGTATGTTCGGGGGAAATTACTTTACATTCCAGTAAAGCATTAAAGGGTAAAATTTACATTAATTCAACCCTGTGAATGGGCGACCCAATTGAAACTGGATGTTCATGATGTATATTTTTTAAATGTCCTCCCCTGCTTAAATTGCCTGAAACTAATGAAGACCGATACGCGAAAAGTGAGATATAAATGATGATAATTATCTCTATTTAGTGCTGACGTCACGAAACGAAAAGCTTTACTGAAAATAAACGTGAGGAATTTGCTAAATAATATCGGCAAACTTGGAAAGTTGTTTTATTTGCTTGTAAGTCGCTCTGGAGTGGAGATTATTTCAAGAGAAACTGGGAATTAACAAAGTTTCCCAACAATAAATAGCATTAGGCAACGGCAAACAGAAAAAGCAGCACTTGGAAGCCTCTAGACCTTAAAGTGCCAGAGAATGGGTGGGGAAACTGTGCGGGACGTGGGTGGAAACACCTCGATTTTTCAACTGCTGTCTTCAATTCTTCCATTTCGCTCAGCCATATCCGAGTATCCGAGGCGAATTAGAACACTGTCGTGCGGAACTTTGCTAAGTCAGCAGTCAGCCATCGTACAGGATCGTAATTTGCAAGCATGTTGTCACAGTATTAGTGCCGCTACAATAAGTCAGGCTTTCATACTGCGAGAAACTCCCTGAGGACATTAACACTTTAAAGCTCAAATATGGGAAAAGCTAAACCAGCAAAGAGCGCTTTAGGGTTGCGGAAATCCAGTTGAAAAAACATCTAGGAGATTAACATTTAATTAATTAAACGATTTTTTAGGTGTTTGTGGTACAACATGTGGACGTTTGCATGTTCAGCAATGGCAAGTTTAAAAACGTCGTCGCTTTGCTCAGCGACAAGGAGTCCTGTCCTATTCTAACCGCAGCTACTTTGAGCAAAACCTACACTCTCCTACCACTGAACAGCACCACGAAGAACTGGATAGCTTTGGAGGACACTTACACCAAATCCAGTTCCAGCCTTGCCAGCACTGTTTGCTCGGTCACCGGAAATGCTGACGATCGAAACGTGTTTGCTATATATGTTTCCTATTATGTCAAAGGTGAGACTAACTAGGCCATAAAGTAAAAAAATAGGGCTTAAATGGGCGGTTGTTTTTAAACGTCTACAGCCGAAAAACTAAAGCTCGTACCGCAACATTTTCGTCCACATTGTTCGTAAAAAACACAGTTTGATGTTGCCTCCGTTTCAATGAAAACGGCAGAGTTTTGTCCAAACGATGTATAGGTCGAACAAGTTTCAACATCTTTAGTTAATTCTAATAAATCTCGAGTTTGACATGTTTTTATTCAGAAATCAGTCAAACTAGAGGGTTATCGCTGCACTTATATCATCAGACAATTTTCAAGAGTTTTTAGAGGTTTAGAAACAAGGTTTTCAAGAGTAGTTTTTGAATGTGTTTTTAACTTACTCTTCGATGTGAAAAAAACAATCGTTTGATCGCGCCTTACTATTTATTCGCAATAATTTAAACGAGAGCAACGATACAAAAGCTACTTCAAGTCCACTCTGGATAATCACTTCAAGCTGCTCTCTAGAGACCTTAATGCTGCTGGAACGAGGAATCGCAGTAATTTGTCGTAAGCAGGGAATTGCAAAAGAGCAATTTCGACTGCTCCAACTTAATGCGATTGCTTGCCAATAAAAATAGCCCGGCTGGAATCGGGAAATTTACCCGAAAGTCGCACAGGCTTTGGATTGCCATCCGCTATCAAACAAACCGCTAAATTCGATTATTTTCAGTAAAACTACTGGTGAGCGTGATGGGTGGCGATGTGAGCCTGAAATTGCCGTTCACTTTGATGCACACTTGCAACGATTACGATGGTGAAACCCTAACGAGAGTAAGACGAGTGGAGAGCGAGTCACGCCGCTTTGTCCATCCTGCACATATCCATCGCAAGACCGAACAAGACATAAAGCAGGAGAAGGATGGAACGTGAGAAAAGGAAAAGGTAATTGCTCAATTTCTGGTTGAAAGCAAAATATTGGCACATTCCTGCTTTAGGTTGTGGTAGAAATCAACAAAACCGACCAAAAATCGCCAACCGACCCCCTCTGTATCGGGCCTGAAGTTATTCACGGCCCTCAACGGCCTTTGACGCTGCATTTTTGCAAAAATGGAGACAGCCAGAAGATGGCAGCCGAAGAACCACAAGCTCACAAACCCGAGAAGAAGCAGCAGAATCTGGATGAAATTGTTACATTGAACAAATCTGATTCGGAAATTGAAAAGTTGCCAACTGGTTTTAAGCAAAATGGGGCTCAGTATGTGGAGTGCCACCCCAATGGAGAACAAGGGGCATTTTTTAGCTTGAGACGCGCATTTTGTTGTTTGAGAACTAGACGCAGCTCATAGCAGAGCATGCGAGTGAAATGTTCTGAAGCGGTAAGTTTGAACTTGTAATTAACGTCTACTGAGGGGACGTTACTAGGTAGGAAACTATAATAGCGCGCAAGCACATGTAATGGCTCAAACTTGCAAAATATAATTAGGGTCTATTTTTAGAAGATGTAAATATAGATAGGTAAATGCAGTAAATAACTTTTGTCCTCGATTTGCTCATGACCAGCGATCATTTGCCAACCTCAAACGGCCTTCCTAAGAGCCTGATCCTAGTTGAGTGCAGCAAAATCGCGCAGAAACTCCCAACTCCTCAACATTTACACTCAATTCCTACCCGTATCATTGGTGTGAATTCCTAAAGTGTATAGATCGATATTTGTACTATGAGGTGTCGATATGTGACATGTCTATGAGTGTTCCGTGTAGTTCCGTAAGATCGAGCCTATGTAAGATAAATATTATTTCCATAATGTAAAGAAATAATTTTGTATCCTGACCGAATGTAGCATCCAAATATTGCCCCATGTTAATTGAAAAAAGAATAAAATAATTATAGAAAACTGAGGCTTTTCCAAAATCCTACCACCGGCCAACTAGTGGGTCTTTGATGGCGTAAGTTCTGGTAATAGACAAAATCAAAATATCACGATCGGACCCCGAATGCGCCAGGAATCTACTGACTACACAAGCCAAAGTCGCGATAAATTAAAGGACGTGCACTTGTTAAGTGTGCACAGTAACCACCTGAAAACATTGAACTTGACGAAAGAAATAATGAAATTTCCTATGCAAATGTTCAATAAACGTAGTATTGAGACGCGGTGAATATGCGGTGTAGCAGACGGTGAATCGGCGAAGAGAAATAGATGCAAAATGAATAATGAAATACGTGTTTTTAAGAAGAAGTGCACGTCCAAATGTGCGTTCTTGAAAATGCGCCACTCGAACATTACAAAATTGCGCCTACTCACAATGATATCCACATTCGGCATATCCGCGGACGATCAGCTTGTCTTCGAACTTTCCGTCTGAATCAGGGCAGGAGACTTTGATCAGGATGTACTTAAAAGTACCTCTAGGATCAATGTCAACGTTCTTGATCTGCGGAATTGCTGAAGAAGCCATTTTTCTTAACTGTTGGCTTGCAGTAGCAGCAGCTCTGATCATCAAACGCTGGAACAATTACAATTTTTCCTGGTTTTCTTTGGTAATTTTAAGGACAAGGCTGATACTTTGTAAAGACGACAGTCACTATTAGTTCAATGCAAAATATGAACCGAGAACTGAGCGATGCAAAATTAAGATATTTTTTAAGAATGAAATATTTTTTTAAATTTTGGCGACCAAATTGCGGGCTTGGCTGAAAAAAACTATTCTACCTTTAGAGCTAATGATTTGCTGACGACTTGACGAATCTTCAGGCCCAAACTGTAGCTCTTTATGAGTCATTTTTGCATGTTATTTACAACCAAAAGTTTGAATCTTGAAATGCAAAAAAATAGCGGAAAATGGCTGGTTTGGAACCGCAACTAGAAACCGCATTGATACTTTATTTTCTTCATTCACCAACTGACTGAAACTGAAAATTTGGACGTTCATGCTACCGCTTCTTAATTAATGGGATAGAGATAGACATTGCAATTTTATTAGTTACAAGATGAGCTAATTAAGACACTATTTCGGAGACTTCATGTGTTTGAGGTGATAAAATCTTGATTGCTAATTGAAAATTGACAGGATGGATAGAAAGCCTACTCAAGTTAGAAACTTTTGAAGTTTTTTCGGTAAACGCTATGTTTTCCAGAAAAATGATAAAATCGCGCCGAGTAAGGTTCTATTTGTTGGTCGTAGGAGGCTGGTGATCATAGATAAAGACTGGTGATTTGGTTAATCAAATGATTGTCAGCAATTGACAGTAATTGTCAAGTTGTATTAATCGGATGTCAGATTGAACAGTCGATTTGGAGTTGTTTGCCAAAAAAACTCAGTGAAATAAGCAAAAAGCGATTTTAAAAGGTGAATTGATGGATGTTGCTAGAATAAGTTGCAAAAATAAACCAAGGAAACCGGCTATTTAATTCTTTTTAAAGAATGCACCTGCCAATTAACAATTTTCTCTGAAAGAGCCAAACCGAGCCTTTTCAAAACTATCAATTAAACTAATCCAATCTTTGTTTAATTTAAAGGAAATTGATTAAAAGCAAAAAGGCAATTGGAGAAAAATCATGCAAAAGCCGGGATAACCTAACTCCTAGCCAAATGTGGCATGCTGACTGCTAAGGAACATCTAGAATGCGTAGAGTTTGGGTAAGCAAACTCCATTGCAATAACTAACAAATACTTACAATAAAGCTAGAGGTTCGGGCTCTAAAATGGCTCAAAACCTCACTACACTGGCTCAATTTCAATAACAAAAATACGACTTGTGGACTGTCAGCGTCAAAATCAGCTGAAGTCCCCCTCTAGAGCATAGAGCAATATTTTCGGGTGGTATTGATTGAATTTCATAGCGTTGGATGTTTTGCAGGTGTTTTTATTGGTAGAAAACCATAACAAAATATTGTAGCTAAACATTTGACCTTTTAAACGGCGCACGCATTTGAATAGGGACATAGTCCAAAGCTCATGTAGTCAGGTTGGCCGAGCGGTCTAAGGCGCCAGATTTAAGCTCTGGTTCTCGAAAGGGAGCGTGGGTTCGAACCCCACACCTGACAATCTTTTTATTTTTTCATCTCGCTCATTTTTCTGTTTTTCCTAATTATGGAGATGCATTTCAAAGAAAATCATTTTTGGACCCACAAACAGATATTAATTTCCCCGAAACTTTTATGATAAAAAGTGCTAATTCTCCTAATTTTGGTAAAATGAGAAGCAAAATATTGCAGGAAATTGGGCTACAAACACTGAATAATTCCGATTAGTTGAAAACCTTTACTCATCCTGCCTTTACCACAAAGTGGCGGATAACTTTGGAAAATTCATTTTCTCGGTGCGTTTTCCCATTGCAAACTGGTTAAACGCCAATCGGTCAAGAACAATAGTTTCTTGGTTAAAACTTTTATTGCCAGCAAGAGCGGATCCAGGGGGGGTTATGGGGGTCATTACCCCCCCAATCAATTCTCAATCCAACGATGCCAAAACGGATTCTCTGGCTCGAATGGTTCTTGAGAAACTTCGAAAAAAGCAGCGTCAAGTTCAAGTGGATTTTGCAAATCAAAAAAAACCACGCGAAATCTAAAACTTCTTGAATTCAAGCATTTTTTGAGAAAACTGCGTACATTTCCTTATCGATGGTTCACTTTCTAAAAAGGCCATTTATTTCTCTCTAGAATGATGTACAAATGAGCGCTCTTGCTCATTTTGCCTCCGAGAAATGAGCAAAAACGGGACAGAAAACATGAAATTTTGGCATAATCTTGCACCTAAGTGTCTGATATTCAAATT